ATAGTCTTCCTGCTATTGTAGTGGAAGCTAAAACCATGGGTTCCTTTAAATCAGAGCTAGATAAGATTTTAACAACTCTGAGATATTAGCTAAGTTCTCCCCAAACGAGCTTGATGGGCCGAATGGCCTCCTCTCGTTTGTAAATTTCTTATGTTCTTATGTTCTTATGTTCTTAATTAGCGACTGGGCTAATACCTGGCAGATTAAATTTTACGTAAAATGTAAGGTAATCCATGCAGGGAGCAGAAATATAAAGTACAGATATTTTATGGGTTCCACTGAAATAAAGGTAGCTGATTATGAGAAAGACCTCGGTGTGTATGTTGATGCTTCCATGTCCCACTCTCGCCAGTGTGGGGAAGCAATTAAAAATGCCAATAGGATGTTGGGTTACATCTCTAGGTGTGTGGAGTTTAAGTCAAGGGAAGTGATGCTAAGATTATACAATTCCTCGGGATGATCTTACCAAGAAGATAGAATATTGTTTGCAGGTTTGGTCACCATACCTTAAAAAGGACATTGCTACCTTGGAAAAGGTTCAAATTAAGGCTACAAGAATGATTCCTGGTCTTAGAGGAATGTCTTATGAGGAGAGGTTAGCTGAGCTGAATCTGTTCAGCCTTGCGCAAAGGAGATTAAGGGGGGACATGATCCAGGTATATAAGATTCTAACAGGTCTCGATGCTGTTCAACCAAATGGCTACTTTAATATTAGTTTAAATACTAGAACTCGTGGCCATTGGTGGAAATTAGCGGGAGAACTTCCTTCGAGTTTAAACTGAATTTGAGAAAACACAGTGTGTAGTTAGAGTATGGAATAGTCTTCATGCTGGTGTAGTGTAAGCTTTTTGTTGAAAAGCATTCCTTTAATGTTGTAGAATAGTGAATTGTTAATGTTTGTTGTATATTTGTTGCAGCTTTGTGTGCTGTGTAATTTCGAGCACAGATGGCAGTGTCACTTTTGAGCGAGAGGATGCTGCATCATCACTCGCGGTAAAAAAAAAAGGAGATTAGAGGTGGAAGAAAAGGGTGCTAAAAGAATGTGGTGCTAAAACGAAAAACTAGTTTATGTATTGCAGCGGTTTATTATTTTTCAGTAAAGTCAATTTAAAACGGAAACTTCGTTCATATTTTCCACCTACGAAGAAGGTACGGTTAAGTTCACAATAGGCTTTCCTGTGGTGAACTGTTCCAAATAGTACAGCCGCATGTTTTCAGTTTCATTTTCAATGCCTTATTCACAAGCTTTCATGATGGATCAGTATTGAAGCGGGTTGCCATCAAAAACAGGAATTTCTCTGGCAGGAAGAAGAGAGAGTTCTTGCTGCTTGATCAACAACTCAGTTATTTCATTTTACCTGAGAGCATCTGAGCATTTTTGCCCAGTTGAGCTGATCAATCATCATAACTATGATTGAAAAAATGGGCCTTTTGGTTCCCTTTTATTAGAAGGTGTTGATGCATGAGGTGTATGTGGGGGTGCCTTTGGGAAAGATGATGCCTTTGATTTTGTAGGAACTGTAAATAGATTCTCAGGGGAACCGTTTTCTTGTTAAATTACCAAGCTTGCCTCTCCACGTACCAAT